ATTATTATTTACTGTTGTTTGGCTTTTATATGTATTGTTTTTGTCCCCATACACCTATATGTCTTGTCCTTCCTTAGGAATTTCTTCCCTAGATCATATTATTACTGTTTCTAGGGTTAAAGTATGTATTCTGAGAATATTTTTCTTGCCATTACTTTTTGATTTGAACTTATTCATATGTGCCTTCTTATATTTGCCCATTGCTGCTATTTTTGTGATAATTATAATGACCTAGATGTTACTGGTTGTTCTGGATGTGTACATATACAAGTGAGTCACTGTTGCATCTTGAGCTTTGAGAAAGACAAGTGTTTGCCGAAATGTCAGCTCATGTTATGAATAAAGTCTGCACTGCGTACTGTCATTAGAGCACTTTGCTTTCTTATGTGACACTCGCAATCAGTTTCCCTCAAGGCACCTAGTTCAGCCAAGTGTTAATCTGCCATTACTCTTCAGGAGTGACAACGGCACAGGGCTGCATGTACACACACAGAAGAGAAAGAATACCTGTCAAGATATCGTATGCGCCAGAGGATTATTTTTATTATTTTTTTTTGGCTGTTGCAAGGCAGCACCTATCGTTGTGTGATGTGGAGGTGCTGTCTGTTGAGACAGTGAGGAAAATCAGAGGAGAAACTGAGACTGTGTCTGTGCATGTTTGTCCAGTGTTGTGTGATGTGATCACTAACTCTCCTTCTCTTTCTCTGAGGTGCTTATTCAGTGCTTCTCTCATGTCTGTCAGCATCACTGACTGGTGAGAAGGGGTGGAGTCAGGTGCCATTTGGCATGAATCACTCTTTATTTCTGTGAGTCAGACAACAAAGGAGACTTCTGATTGGATTTGGTGAGGAGTGGATCCTTCTGAGGATTTTCAGGTGCAGTCTTTCAAATGTAGAAATGTTGCTACATTTGATTTTTAGCCCCGCTAGCAGCATGGCTCTATGGATGGCAGTTTTGCTCAGCTGTTTGGTCTACCACTTGAAATATCTCAGAACTGTTGGATGGATTGCCATAAATGCTCATACTGAAATTCACGGTCCCCAGAAGATGAATCCCTATAACCTGCCAAAGTCTTGAGTCCTAAAATCTGGAACTTAGCATTTCCCTCGCCCTGAAGTCAATGGGTTTTTAGTTTGATGCCTGAAATAAGGTCTGTGGTGAACACAAGACCAATACAGTTTCATGTTTTGTTCAGTGAAATAAAATACATCAGTAATATAAAATATAAACACAGCATGACAAAATTCCCTTCTTTTCCATCAAGGAGATAATTTGATTTTAATGACAGCTTGCCTGAGACAGCCTCCTGACACCATTGCCATAAATCAACAGATCACACATCTGCTCGTCTCTTTCTTCACCTTACCCCCCACCCCAAGACACTTTCTTCCCCTTCAAGGTGACTCATCTTCTACCAATCAAAAAGCAGCACAAATAATCACTCACCTCAGACCTCCCCAGTTTTTGATTTGCACGTTTGATAAATGCTGTCTTTTCTCTGCTTTAATTGTGAGACTTTTTCCTTATAATTTAATGTTTGTTTCCTGTCTTTTTCTTCTTTTTGCCACTATAATTTCAACATCAAGGAAGGTATGAATGACGAGCAGGTGGAATTGGCACCTTGCAAGTGAATTTAGGAACTGATACTGACAAATCATTTCACTTGATCAGGCTAATATCACACACACAGACACAGAAACACACATACTTACACAGCGCAAAATAATTAGGGGTAATTAGGGTAATTTCTGTTTGAAGTATTATGCATTGCAATGAAAATAGAACAGATAAAAGATGAGACAATAATAGATCTACTTAGGACCTTGACTGAATGTTGTTTCAACAAAGAGCATTTTGTCTGACATAATTCATATCATCTGCTAAAGTGATATCCTCTCCCAACTTTAGAAGAGAAGGAAGAGCATCATATAAAACAAAACAAAGAGAAGGAAGAGCATCATATAAAACAAAACATGCTAAATATGCATGATGTTCATCCACACTTTGTGTCTCACCACAATATGTAGACTATATTAATTTCCTCCTTCAGATTGACTGCTGGTCTAAAAGCAGGGAGATAAGGGATAGAAATCCATGGGTCATAAATTATGCCTCATGTATAGATACATTCCTTCCTTATATAACATGCAAAATCTAGTATCTAAAGTGAGAAACAACTGAATTCAGGTCACTGTGCACCAGGAAATCTTCCTTTTCATGTGAGATCCAGAGGGGTCACTCTTATGAACTCATTAGGAGAGAAATGCTAATGTAGCTCTGCTTTTTTCTCCCCTTCTTCCTTCTCTCTTTCCTGGTTATTTTAACAATCAGGGCTGCAATACATAGATATACCCCTTGCTGGAGACATAATGTATTTTGATGTCAAGAGAAAAGGGTGTAAGGTGGTTTTGACAGCGACTTCATTACAGAGGCTGTCGTTCGTTGTCTTGTCATGAAAACTAAAATCATTACACAGCAAACAAAGGCTTCATCTTTATCTACTCTAGGTCATTACCAGTGTGCTGCAAACAATGTTCGCTAAATAAATGAAAAAGACAATGAAAAAGAAAATCTATATCACTCAGTGAAATATGGACTTCAGTGTAGCATCCTGGTGAACAAATGACCCCTCGTCTCAGGCCTTTTATTCAGGGAGATAGACTTCTGTGCAGCGGTGTCATCGTGCAGCAGTGGACGTTAAATAATGAATCTGAGGGGAATAACAGCTCAATATGAAATGCCAGTAAACGTTTAGGATGGTCTGGAAAATGTCCATGTCAGAAACACAGTTAAATACCCTAGATACTTTAATTGTCCTTTTAACTGTTCCTTTGTGCATCCTACAAAACTGCATTATGTAACATGTACAACTAACATTATTCTACCAATGAAGTCCATAACATGCATTGTTTTGTTTTGCACCTTAAATATTATCATTCACTTGTTGTCTTTCATAATTTTTGGATTGTCTGAGATATCTTCAGTTATATCTGCCTATAAAAAATATTATTTGTTTTTATGATTTCATTTTCCAGGTTTTATTGTTATTAGTTTTCAATAATTCTAATACTAAGTGCCATTGACATTTTATGTCAATGTTATTTTGTTATTTTATGAAGTTTTGTCTTCAGCTGACCTCATTGCCTTGGATTCAACAGACCCCACCTCTATGTGAAAAAATAAGAGAAATCAGCCATTTTCCCCTTCAGAATTTTATTGTTATAATTTCCTTTACCATAAATTGAGCTCATACATTTAAAATATAGAAACTAAGATAAATGCAATTAAATTAAATATGTAATGCTTTAAATTTTATAAGCCATGATCAAAATATATTCCAATTGTCTGACAAAACACTGCTTACAGACAAAGAAGTGTCATTCTAAATAGTGACATTGTGCATGGTGAGCTTTGAGTAACCTGGAGAGGTCTCAATCCCAGTTAGACCTTTAATTTTTGATTTGAGAGAGAGACGTATTCATGGACAGATTATAAGATCATGGGCCACTGAACACAGAAATGTAAAGGCCCCCACCTTTCTTATATTTCTAGGAGTAAGACACAGATTGAACAACCACATGATCAGTTCTTGTCTTCTTGTATTTGTTTAATAGGCATTTATAGATGTTTTGCACTCATTTTAGACTGTTTGTGTTAACCTTTACTCATTTTGCACCTCTGTAATAATTTTGCACTTGTTTTTACTTATTTTGTGCCTGTTTTTTGTCCTTTGGCATTTGTAGTTGTTTTTCTATCTTTGGAATTTTTTGTGTGTTCCTTTAAAGTCATTTCTGTCTCTTTTTAGTGGATGTGTAGTTGTTTTGCATCTATTTTTCTTATTTTGTGGCTTTTAGTAGTCATTTTGCAGTGATTTGATTGTGTTTCCAACAGATAGGTTTACAAACCCTTCACAGTTCTCTGGTCTAGGAGCCTCCTGATCCCTTGGGCCCCTGGGCCTATGCCTGGTAGGCCTGCTCAGTAATCCATCCATGGGTGTACTGCATTAAAAGTGCTATCAATATCAATCACATGTAGAGCACATGAAAATCCATTGTATTTAACCATGTTTTACAGCTGATGCTGGAGACCAGAGATCGGGTGTCATTTTTGAAACTTTTAATGAGTTCAACATTTGGTTTATCAATCCTTGTAAAAATAGTAAACATTATGAAGTATCTAGGTGAGAAAACCATGCTTAGTGTGTTTTTGAGCTGTTAAACATGGCCTGGGGTCTGACCCCAAACAAAACACTGGATTTAAGGCTGCTGCTCTTGTCTTATATGTTGTATTTTATGTATATTTAATGTATTTTATGATATCTTACAATGCCAGTAAACCATAGCCAAAGCCCAAACAGGATTCGTTTAGTCTTGTGATTTATTTAATCAGTTTTATTTTTCACAGTTTTCACCCCCGATTTCCCTTTTTGCCTAATTTTATGATTTTAGACCATATCCAAGGTGAATGCTGGAAAAGACTTATTTAAAGAAAATTAGGTTGTTCCTATTGGCGTGGTTTTAGGGTGGTGCATGTAGGTAGCAGCATTTCAAACTGTGCCAGAAAAAAGAAGTGGCAACTAATTAAATTGAGCAGCTAGAGAACCGAGACTTTCTACAGAGTGAAAACAGCCACAGTTTATACCTTGTATCACAGGTTTTTGGCCGGAAACGTGAAATATAATGTTACATTGTGTGTACAGTCAGAGGGTTTTGTATGTGAAATCTTATTAATTAACCCTCTCTCTTTCAGTGGTGTATTGTGCATGTGTGTTCGTGCGTAATCGTGTGTGTGTGCGCGTGAGGGTGCGTGCGCTTTCCGCTATACTCTGGAATGCGGCCAGTCTCGGCTCTTTTGAACCCGCACTCCGGTTCCAAAACCCCAAAGCCTTTGATCTTTTCTTCCCTCGCCGTCTCCTTACCCGGAAGAGAACCCCTTCTCTCTTTCTCTCCTCTCTCCTTTTAGCTGGGATGAACGCACACGTGGAAATGTTGGCCCTGCTCCACACTCCGACCAAATTTAGTCATACAAAGGCTAGGGGAGAGCGAGGAGAAGGAAGGGGGGCTGGTGGTGGGGAAACCGGGCGGGGGTAGTCGGGGATGAAAGAGCCAGCCGCTGCGAGATCAAAGGCTGCCGCGGCTCCGCCCCGCTAACCCCACCTCCGCGCTTTATAAAGATCTGCCTCCCCATCCCAACTTTGATTCTCACGCAATCTCTCACTGCTCAGGCAGGAAACACGACACTTCCACTGTTTTCTCATGAACTAAGAACTGTATTTAGTTTAATTCTTTATTTCTTTCTCTTGTGTCCCAGGCCTGCATTGTTCACTTTTCATTGTTAATTAATTAGCTTCTATATTTATTTAGTGTATCTCTGTGTGTGCGGTGTGGGTCTTTGGTTCTTGTTACCATTGCTAACTCTAAAAATGCTTTTACCGCGTGCTAAAATAATAACTATAGAAAACACTTGAGTGTTGAGTGCCAACTGTTTTTATATGGGCCAATAATTAATGAATATAATATATAATTAAATGTTTAATCTTTCCCACTTTCCATACAGAACATAACAGATAGGTGTCAGAGCCTTCAAAATACAAAAGTTTTTGGACTCCTTGTACTTATTTGTTTGGCTAGACTATTTGTGATTGTCTCACAAAGGTCGTACGACTTAAACACAGAATTATTTTCTTCATATCAACAGCATACATTTTATATTTGCTCATATTGTACAAGCATACCTTTCATTTCTTATACCAATTAGTGCAAAGAGTGGAAAAAATATATCCACACCTCCTTGCGGCAAATTCAGGTGTGGTAAAATAAATATATGACCCGGTTGAAAATGTATTGCCACTCATGGAAACCAGACCTGTGCTATAGTGTTTTCTTCTGTGGCCTCTGTTTCTGGGTATTTCTACTAAAAAATAACGCTATTGCTATTTCTTGGGTTGAGATTAAATTCCACCTCTTATACCTGAACCATCTTTAGCTTCTTTGTATCTGCTTCTATTAAGCTATAGTTTTCCGTGATTGTTTAAACCCATCACACACAGTGCGCGTGTCAGCCTCGCTGCTTCTTCCTCTTTTCTTCTTTTTTTTTCTTTTTCTTCTTCTTCTTCTCCTCCTGTCTGCCCATTTGTTGCGACCTGTGTATAAATCTCTCTCTCAGGAGGAGTGTCAATCGGTGTGGTGTCAATCACAGCCTCTGCTTCCCTTTCATCTCTTCTTCCTCCCAGTGACTGAAGAGGAGGAGGAGGAGGAGGGAGCACGGCTACATTACCAACACACATGCACACGCTGGTTACATTACACTGTGGAAACAGTGCAGGAGCACTGGGGGGGATCGGTCCACGGCGTTTTTTCTTCTGTCTTCTTTTTCGGTTGTTTTCTACATTTTGCCTTTCTTCCCTCTCATCCCGCCAGCTTTGAGGATCTATTTTCAAGCATGAGGTCGACTTACTGCGCTGTTTGTTGTCTTGTCCAAGTGTTGAAACTGTAGTTGCACATTCATCAGTTACCTTTTCATCTGGCTGTTTGGTTTTGTTAGTCTTTTTCGTCTTCAAGGACGAACCAGCTTCTTCACTGGACCACTGAGGAAATACTTTCTCTCACTTGTATACATGCACTTCTTCACGTTCACTTGCTTTTACTGGACCATATCCGTCGTGGGTTGTGTGCAGAGATTTTAACTCGTGGTTTGTCTCCTTTTTTTTTTTTTTAATTTCTTCCTCATGACATTGAAGCTTGTGCCGGACTCTCATTCTGACCCTTTACATCTCAAGTTTTCCGGGTCTAACTTTCAGTCTTTTTAGTTTCAACACTCGTGGCAAAAAGGACGCCGACAGCAGCCACATTCCTCCGGTTGCTTCAGTAAAAACACGCCTGCAGCGTGTCCTCACGCCGCTTCCTATCCCGGTGACTCGCCGTTGAACGGGGACGTTTTCCCACTCGGTTCTGGGGGATTTTAGTGGGAGCTCCCTCCCTCTGTAGTTTCGGACAGTGCTGGCTTGTGTGTTGTCCTCGGTTTTCTCGGTGAAGCAAAGAGAATAAAAAAAAAATGCCCCAGTTATCAGGCGGCGGAGACCCGGAGCTGTGCGCTACAGACGAAATGATCCCGTTCAAAGACGAAGGAGACCCACAGAAAGAGCAGATCTTCGCCGAGCTCAGCCACTCGGAGGAAGAGGGGGACCTGGCAGACATCAAGTCGTCTCTGGTCAATGAGTCGGAGAGCAGCCCCAACAGCAACAGCCACGATGTGAGTAACGTGTGTTTTCACTGATGTGTTTCACTGATAGTGAACCTCAGCACAGAGGCTGCTGACACAGCTGACTTCTCTTTAAATTTGAATCACTCTGTTATTAATGAGTTTCCCAGAATAATTTAAGTTTGAGGCTTTTTAAAAAAATCTCTTATGAAATCCTAAAGTTGCTTTCTTTTATAATGTATATTACACATTTTACCATCAAGATTTATCTTGGATTAAATAATGTATAACCTTAGTTTAAGTACATTTCTAATCTCCACTTTCACTGTGTGTATATGTTTTATTTAAATTGAATATTAATTGCTTCATTGATGCCATTGGCAGTCTGCAGAGCCAGGTCTACACTAAAGATGCTCCTCTAAACACCACATCCCTAGCACTCAGTATCCTCCTGATCGGAGACACTGGAGGCCTGAATATGCTTGGCCCTCTGTGTCAGCTATAGCTCATTAATTCATAATAAGGTTTGGACAAAAACAGAAAACCTATTTAAGAACTGAGGCCTTGTGTCCTGCCTGTGACAAAGAGGCTGTTCAAAGATCAAATCTTATAAAGTAAAAGCTAAAGAAAAGGACTACCAAAATAATTTTACCATGTGATATTTGCATTTTCATATTTTTGCAGGTTCAACATATTGTTTTTAATGCTGCACATAAAATATTTTAGTATGTTTTGGGGCTGAGAAATGTATGAAATACATTTACAGTTATATTTGTTTGCCCTGTACTCACTGATCACATAAAAATATGTGAAATTCTTAAGTGTGTAACTGCCTAGAATTCATTGTGTATGTAGATGCATATAGAATCTCAGTGGAAGAATTATTAATGTTGAATTTTTCATGTTTATGGAATTATTTTTCATGCTTTTTGTTTCACATTTGCACAGTGGCATCTTATTGTGGCACACACAAAGAGAGTATAAGCATAAAAACCCACAATTAAAATTTGTATTTAATTTTTTTTCCTGCGCCCGCTCACTGATATCACGATGCAGGCTGCAGCTTTCCTCAGCACGAACGTTTGTTATGTCATTAACCGCGGTGCTAATGAAATTTTTTGGGAACATCCTGAATGAGACTGAACACATTTGCCGCCAAATGTCCTAGAAAGGCCTGAGACAGAGGCTGAATGTTAATTAGGAATCCAGCGAAGATCCCTGGCTCAACTTGAATCCGTCCTGAGGGGTATGAACTCCAAAAACAGAGGTCCTCTTCCAATTTCTGATTTGAAAAGAAAAAGAACATAGATGTTTTTTGTTTTTAAGCAAAAACTGTCTGCACCATATTCTCTTTTTATATGATGATTATATTTCACCTTCCACAGAGGATTTGAATTTATAACCCTTATACACTCGCATTATTTGAGTTTAGAAGCAGACGAGATGAAGATGAGTAGACGTGTGTTGAAAACAAGTTAATTTGTAAGCTCCTTAAGGACATGAAGCTTAATTAAGTGGTTCTTTTGAAGCTTTAATGCAGGCTGCTCCGTCACCCCTCTATAGATAGTGGTGTCTGTTTTTGTGTGTGTGCGGGCGAGCTTGTTCTGCTTTGGTGACGAGCAAAGGGACAGCATTTGTCTGAGCAGTGTTTGTGGGAGTCTGACCGTATCAACGTGTCTGTTTGTAACTGCATTTGAAGGCCCTCCAAATTGATTTACCATCTTTTTCTCTTTTCTCCACAGGCAGCTAGACAGTCCCAAATACCGCAAGATTCATATCATGAAAAACACAGAGACCACTCAGATGACGGTAAGCGACACAGCCTTAAGCAAGGGCTTGTTAAATCGGCGTGCTTTAAAGGGCAGTAAGTGTATCATGTAGTGGTTCAATAAAACCCTGGATTTTCAGAATAATTTCAGAAGTTGAAGTGAGTGTGAACAGCCTCCATTTTCCCCACTGAAGTGATCACTACTGGTCCTGTTCTTATCAGAGCCCCCATCTCTGCTGCTCTCAGACAGATCATCTCTGATGCGAGTCTAGTCCGGACATGCCTTACCTTCATGGACACAGCTACCTGTTACCTCCCTCATAGATGAGGGTGCCTGCAGAAATGGAAAACACACGATGATACTTGAATTGAAAGGAGGAGGATTATGCATTTTTTGTTATGGTTTTATTTGGAAATAATATTTATTGCACACGTGGCATGAACCTACAGTTGAAGATGATAACAAAACAATTTCCCCACATCGGTTGTTTGGTTGCACCGTCACGTGCAGCGCGTTGCTTCCTGCTTGGGGCTTGTTGCTCCCTGGCTATTGTAGTCTGACCCCGCTGCTGCAGGTCATCATCGGGTTTTAAAGGAGGAGTGTGCCTCCTCTTTGTTCCCCTTTCACTCCTGAATAGGATCCCCTTCAAACCAGACACCGGCTTTCTCCATAGCTAGGTGCATGTTGCCACCGGGCAGTATATCACAAACACTCCCTGGTCTTATTACATCTCACGCAGTTGAGTGGCGTTGTATTGAGGCCTCTTGTATAAAGCTCCCCGTCAGGTCAGAGGCATAAAGGAACAGTTGGGGCGTCTCCTGTTTTGACACAGTCTGTATGTTCTTCTAATTGGTGCTAATTGGCACAGAGGGGCTCCATTGTTCCTCTGTATAATGAAACCCTCGTCTCCAAGGCCTGGAAGAAAGGGGCCCGAACAAAAGGCTGAGGCAGAACAGGGCACAGGTTAAAGCAATCAACAATGATATCATTACAGCATCAAAACAGGCAGAGGAAGAACTTTCAGTTCAGCCTCAGTACTTGCTTGGTTTATTGACTAAACATGTTTAGAAACATTTTTAAAGCCCCACTGTACAGAGAGTTTTGATGCTGGCTGTTTAAATCTTGCTTGATGAATTTTTCGAGTTTCGGACTCTCCCTGGCCATTACGCACACTGACTAGTGGTTTTTCTGCTTTTTATTAGGAAAGCATCAAGACATGTACAGTAAAGGACATCCGTACCCAAGCTACCCAGGCTACATCATGATGAGCAACATGAACAGCGACTCCTACATGAACAATGGCTCCCTGTCACCGCCCATGCCTCGAATGGTCAGTACCAGCTCTTGCTAGTTTTACATGTCACTTTAATCACTTTATTTCATATGATGACATGACATGCGGTTGGTACAGCCATGAGCTCAGAGCTAGGCATAAACCTCTCAGGTAAAACGGCTCGGCGTCTGGGTATCTCGGTTAGCGAGGCCATGACATAAAAGGTGCAAGACTTCCTGTTTTTGTGTGGCAAGGATATATATATTAAGTAGAATCACATTTCACTGGTCTGTTGATAGACTGTAACTCACTGATTTTAATTTGGGGTGAAAAAATAACTCTAGGATCTGTTATTTTGGCCATATATTTGAGCCATAAAAGTTAGAAGTCTGGTTTTTAATTTGACTGTGATAAAGTGATGCTGCTCTGAAACAACAACACGTGCATTGTTTATTAACATGTGCTTTTATGGGATGGAAAGACGAACAAACATGGAGGATATAGGGCAATGATGTATGTATTGCAACTGCTCAGGTTAAAACCAAGATTGGACATGTTTTGATATCATGGCTGAACAGACAGCTGATTATATGTGACAGAAGTAATGCCACATTATTTGGTAGTCTAACAGCAGGCAAACTGAAGAGGCAACCTGTTGATTTACCAGTACACAGATGCTGAAAACATGGCTGCCAGGTCACTTGTGAGACGTGCTCTCTCACTTTGAAAACATTACTTCTAATATTAAATTTCACTGATGCCGTCAGGTGTTTTCACGAAATCACAAGAAAATTAAATTACATTTATGAAAGAATCACAAGACTAAAAATATTGCAGTGTGCAAATCTACACTTTTAAAAAGCTATTGCAAACTTAGGACCTATACCAAACCCTGATTTTTAGGAGTAGATTCTGTTTGTTACAAGTAGAAACCACCAACATTTGCTGTTTGAGCTTTTTAAATATACGTTTGCTTGCTCTTCTCCATTTGGAGTCACTGGAAATTGGAATACCTAGTGGCTAGGACTGACAAAATAAGTTTTTTTTACATGTACTTGTAATTTTTTTTTTAATAAACAATTATTCAAGTAATCAGTTGCTTTGATTTCACTAACACCAACAAATTACTTTCTAATATCAGGTTTTTGTGAGACAACTCACCCTGTAAAATTTGAGTCATTAAAAATGTTGGGGTCATAACAACTGAATCTGAAATTATGAATCGAAGATTAAAATCAATTGATTAGTAAAAGACATTTCTTTACTTAAGAATCACATTTCCTGAATTTCTTGTTTAAAAAAAAAAAACAATCAAAAAAACTTTAACCTTATCATAAAACAAAAAGTAGCATTATAGTACTTAATGTTTGTGTTGCTGTTGTGTAGTATCTCTGTGCAGCGTTTACCTTCACACAGTGTTGACACCGGTCCCTTTGATAAGTGACTGTGTCCCTTGGAAACCAAATGTCTGTCATATTTTACAGCAGATTACTGTGATGGACAAAGTATTTCTCATCTTGTTAAAATCTTAAGTTGTACATATCTGGGTGACCCAAGTGAGCCCTCTCATAGCCCGTGACTAAGGAGGCCTAAAGGCGGCATCGTGTCTATTAGGCCACCTGGCAGAGGAGTTTATGGTAACATCCAGAGGTGGCGTGTGCTGTTGCAGATACCGTCCCTGTAATGGTATTAAGTTCAGGCCAGCTGCTGGACTCTCACTGGTGGCTTCCTGTGTCTGTCCTGTTTGCAAATTTCTCCTCTCGAGACAGACATAAAATGCACAGGACCCCAGCAGCTGTCCACCCTAATCCTGTTTTGTCCATGTCTCTGTATCACACTTGGGAAGACGACCATCCTCAGTGTGGCTGTGGTGTGGTGCCTCCACACATGAAACACTCGCACATGATGAAGAAGCACAAGTCCCTGATTTGTTTCTGCTTTTGCAGTTCATATGAGTTAGTTTCATCAGGGTAAAGTTGTGAAATGCCACCTCTGTGTTATAAGAATTGGTGTTCCGGAGCAGATGTGATTGTTGGGGGCAGATGCCACACGCATGTGTGTAAAAGACCTTTATTCACACGCAACTCTAACACAGAATGATGTTAAAATTACACTGCTTCCCCTCTGCCAAGGTTGCAGAGGCTGGAATCGTGTGATACTATGGCAAAAACGTGATCCTGATTTGCCCTGTTAAGTTTACAAGTTGAATGGCTTTTGAAATGTGGGGGATGATGCTTTCCAAATTCTATTTTTATGGCTTGTTTTCTGGTCAATTTTATCATTTCATCATATGCACTGAAAACCTTGTAGAGCTCTGTATGGACACCAGCTGACTGCATGAGAGGAAATTACCCATCACTGCAGATGAATTGGGGCAGGCAGTTAGGCGGTGTACTCACTGCCAGAACTTTTACAGCCCTGCTTTCATTTCATTTACCATAGCTGCTTTTTTTTTGCCCAGTGTTGTTCCCCCCCCACCCTGTCTTCAATATAACGGTAGTCATTTTATATATGTTTTTCTCACTTATTCAATAAAAAGAGCTGAGGCTTGGTGGAAGGATCATGGAACAGGAGTCTTCTGGCTTTCTCCCTGATGTCAGCTCACTGCCTCGGCTGCTGGCCACCGCAGCCACAGTATCTGCAGGCCTGGGATCAGTTTTCACTGAGATCAAAGGCATATTCTCTCTTTCATTCTCTTCCATTCCCAGCCTCGCTGCCTCCCCCCAATCCCAGTAGTTTGATTTCCATTGACCATGACATTCCTGCACATGCCGTCCAGTCATGATGGAGCTGGTGGGAGTTGCTGATTGTCAGCAGATTTCAGGGCTTCAAGCTTGATAAGTTGCCTCCGCCACGAGAGCTGAGATTTTGGAGTCAAGATGCCTAATGGTGTTCAGTTTCGTTTACCGCATGGTTATAGTGGATTTAAAATAATTTTGACCACTTCAAAGAGTCACTGGTGTGCTATACACTCACTGACCACTCTGTTTTTGTCCTCCCCAGCTACATACATGAGAGGGTCAGAATAATAGGAACACCTCTGAATATATTGTAGTTCATTAGAAAACCACCTTCACCTCAAGAATAAACATATAATTGCATTTATGGCAATTTCAAGCAAGAGTCAAAACTCCATGCATGACATCTCTGGATGTTCTTAACAAATCTTTGGGTCTGGTGTCGAACTTGGTCCAAATAACAAAAAATTTTGCTCTGAAGTTTTTTTTTTTAATTTCTTATTCAGATTAAGAAAACGGATCGGTTTAAATAACATCAAAGAATCGAGGTTACTGACGAACCTCAACGTAACCTTGTCACTTAATTACAAGAGGGCACATTGGCCTGTCCTGTCTTCTACATCAGGGACTCAGTCGTTTATTTTAAGATGCCCTGGGTAATGTGAAGAGACTTGTCTACATGCATCACATTCTTTCTGACTTCTGTGTGTCTGTAAATGTTTTTATTGAAAAATGAAATGTATAATTTTGGTCAGAACTCTCATAATACCTCTTATACTGGTTGGCGAGTCTGATCTTCAAAGCATTTAGGCTGTTATCTCTCCAGGTTTGATGTGTGCTAGTATGAAAGTTCACTGCTTTGATGGCTTTTGTCAGAAAGTCATCTTTTAGCCTCCTAAACTCAAGTGAGGATTTGCAAATGACAGTTTCTAAATAAAGCTGTGCAGGCTATATTTTTAAATGACCTGAAATCCAGTCTCCATGTCACTGTTGTCGCAAACAGTCCTCGTTTTAGTTAAAACTACATAAAGCCCTCCTGTTTTATGCTATATATTTAAACAGATCCTACATCTTACAACCCCACAGGTTCTAACATCCCACCAAAACCCACTGAGCAAACACATAAATGCATTGATGACGAGATAAAATGAGGGAGTGTGTGTTCTTGGTTTTGACATGTTGATGGTGTAGAGATACAGTACAGAGTTTTCACCTGATTGTGAAGATGTGTTAGTGATATCCAGCTGTGAAAGAACAGTGGTATAGTCTTGGTCAACAGCTTTAAGCTTCTTTTTTCTTTGAGCTGAGTTTTGCTGCTGTGGTAGGGGGGAGTCTAGAGAGCCCTTTCCCCTTTGGACCTTCAACTGCAGATCCTTATGGGCAAGAGAGAGAGAGAGAGGGTGTGTACGTGAGGAGTCTGGGGGTTGGCATTGTAGCTCTGCACTTCCCTTTGATGTAGTGGGAACGTGACGGATCTGCTAGCCAGTGTCTCGCAGCATGGAATCACTAACCCAGGCTTACCTAACGCGATTTGGTAGGACCACTCTGGTGTCCCTCAGTGCCATGTGTGTCCTGAGCTCATGCCCCCAGCACCACCGTGGAAGATCCCTGTTAAAGAGAACACTACATTTACCAGCAGCCCTCCATGTCCACACATAACGTTCTAGATGGCACCTTGTGTCGTTTCCTCTATAGGCTGTGTGACGCTTACTAGAACTGAATGTAGCATTTTGCCTTTAAGTAGCTTCACACTCATCTTCCCACTGTTGGCTCATTTCACATAGGTAGTTTAAAAATAAATTCACAGTATAAACTAGCTGACAAGTATAATTGTCTCATTTTACACCACATATACCAAGTCAGTATTTTTATTTCCAGTCAGGCAGCATACATATCAGAGGCATTTTGACATTGATGTCATCTGCCATGCAGCTCTATCAAACAGTGAACTGTGTGTGTGTGTGTACATGTGAAGGACGGCACTGGGGACCTCACACAGAAGCAATACTTGCCGTCTCAGGCTCTTTGTAGTTCCGCCAGGTCCTGGTGTTTTATAAATAGCGCCATTAACGCCAAAGTTTCTTTCCGTCCTCTGCTGCATGGTGATGCCGGTTGACACATTTACACCATACGTACGTGCTAATGACACCATGTGGCTGCAATCACCTTATCGGGGTTTTCATCTTGTTAAAGCTACAGTATGTAACTTAACGTAGCACTAGCATGAAGCTCCAAATCCATCCGGGTATTTGCTGTTATGAAATTAGAAATAAATGAGACGGCAATAAACCTTACTGATCAATCAAAAATCATTGAAAA